CCTGTTCTTGTTTGTTTGTAATTAAGCACAAAGCTACATAATGGGCTATCAGTGCTCTGCTCATCAAGGGTATGGAAATTCGGTTTCTAGCGTTGTAAATCCTCAGATATACCGATGTGCCACTAGGGGCCATGTTCTTAATATTCCTTATAAATTTCTTACCTGGAACTGTCAAAATTATATAATTGTCTAATGTTTTTGTATATAGATATATGTATTTCTAAAACAAGTATTCCCACGGTTTATAGAGGTTCTGACACTTTATTTTTAATTTTATGTGTTTTACTAAATACATTTATTCAGAATTTTTACTATATATAAAATAGTTTCTCTTGCTTTCAGGATGAAATAATTGGAATTAAAATTTTTAACCCCGATGAAACCTCACGCGCATGTGGGCTAAATGGCTAGATCAGAGACTCTTAGGTTGTTATAGTAGTCCCTAATTTTGAACCAATGACTACTGAGAGGGCAAGCAACCAGAAACAGTCATCGTCACAAAGACTATCAGTTTCTTTGAATTGAATTAACTGTCACTTTTTGTAATGCACCCACAGCTGAAAATGTGTGGCTTGTTCAGTAGCCTTACGTTTCGAACGTTGGATCCTTTAACCCACAGCCTAATATGCTAATTACTAGGCTACACCAGGTTTAGCATAAAATAACAATCTAACTTAAATATTCTATTTTATAACAAATTCTTTATTATTACATAGTTTAAATGTATCTATATATTTTTTGAAAAATCTAATTAACCAAAGGATTTGCTTATTAAACATCTGTAAATTCGAAATAGTTAAGAAGTTTTTTTCTGTAAGAAATAGAGTAATTTATAAAACACGTTCATTTTCATCGAATACCAGCAAGCTAAGTTTTCTTATTTTATTTTTGAAGTACAGCAAATTAGCTCGGAAAGTAATTATTTATATAATTATTTAGAATGCCATCTGAAAAAGTTACAAACGCTAGTAGTAAAGAATTAAGAAAATTTAAAAATGTGTCATTTTGAATTTTATGTTTTCTTGTTACATTGTAAATAGCATTTTACTATTTTTAAAATTGAAATTTCAAAGCCAAAAATACCCACAACCACATTTAAGCATTTCCAAGACAGAGTATTAAAAGATTTTCTCAAAACCTTGTAGAAAGTAAGGCCCTGGTACATTAAGCTATTTCAGTAAAATTATCGAACAAAGTTCTAGTATTTTCTTCTGCACACTAGGTTTAAAGACACTCTTCATCTTCGTGAGTTATTAATTGTAAAATAGACTTTATCCATACAACAATTCATCTCTCTAGTCTATCAGTTCAAAATTAGTGACGGCTAGTGCAGATAACCATTGTGTGGCTTTGCGAGAATATCTGAAACAAAGAAATTCTTCTTACAGATTCCGGCACCGCTACCTCGAGGGCAATCTGTACAAGCCGTTCATAGTTTAGAAGTGATAGAGGGCCGATAGTTTGTTTGTTTGTAATTAAGCACAAAGCTACACAATGGGCTATCTGTGCTCTGCCCACCACGAATATCGAAACCCGGATTCTAGCAGACATACCGCTCTGCTACAGGGGGGCTAAGGGTAGCTAGCAAACACAATTCATCGCCAACCCTTGGGTTGCTGTATTCAAATACTGAGATATGACCATCACTTTTATAATGCACCCACAGTGTTAAAGTGTTGAACATGATAATTTTTTCATCGATAAGGGTTACGAACTACGGAGCCTTTGATTCACAGTCTGACACAAATATCTCGTACAAATTATTGTATCAGCATGGATATTTTCTTCCTACACATAACATATATAAACTTGGAAACTAATTTAACTTTCTTCTATTTTAAGTTGTAACATAACTGCTTATAACTTTTTTTTCAAACTAACCAAACGTAAGTAATCTATAAATATTTTGTTAAAAATACTGTCAATCACTATGTGTAAGTCGGTACCAAAAAAGTTGGACTTTATTTGAAATTCAGCATTCGAGAATATTTTTACCATTGTTTCCGGGAAAATTACTTTTCTTTTTCGTTTTCTTAAGCTCGTCACAGGTGGGGCTTAAAGGAAGGAATACAGAATTCCACTGGTCAGGAGCATAGTGCCACTGTTTGGAAATAAGAACCAGAGTTCGATTTGTGTGATAGGCCTTCACAAAACACCACAGGACATCATGAATACCAGAAGCAAAACCGAAGAGATTGGTTAGATTGCAAATCAGTGCTTGCTTCAACTTGCACTTCTGTGGATTCTATGTAACAAAATAACAATAATGTACATTAACACACACATTTAAACAGTAGTGTAAACACAGAATAGTTTTAAACGTACAAATATCGTAAGTTTTATATAATCAAAAGTAAGCTTTCTGATACCAGATAAACAGAAAATTGGAAATTTAAAAACCTGTAAATAGGGATCATATAAAAAGTAAGAAAACAAGGCTGGAGATACTGTAGATATTATTTACTCAATATTACTTTTGCTAATTTGTTATATATTGTGTTATATATAGCACGATTTTCAACACCCTTATCTTCGATGTACCAAATATATTAAGAAAAAAAGTTTTCGTACCAACTAAACTGTATAAAGCAATTAAAGATTTGCAAGAATTTTTTGTTAACAACAAAGCTACACAATTAGCGTTATAAGTCCTCACGCTTACCGCTTAGCCACCAAATGGCAGGAGTATTGAAATTTGTAATATTGTAGTTACGACAAGGCAAAATAATGTTACGAAATAATTTCAATTACGACCTTCAGTTTATTTCTATGAAACATCTGATGATCCGCCATTTGAGTTGATATGCAAATGATTGGTCATTAAGCCTACGATCTTGAATAAGCATTTGATAGAGGCGGATTCATATTTCATTTCAATATGGTTTGGTATCAATATTGCATGCTTAAAATCACACTGTTGGTACGATTCAAATGTATCCTCAACAACTCCACGGAAAGAACTGTTTCAGGACATCTTTAATGTCTGGAGTAATTTGACGGAATGCAACACGTCATCAAAGAGTACCCCATATATGGTCGAGGGGATAGAAGTCAGAAACTTGTATAGGCTGCTCCATTCCATAAAACCATGTTTTGCAAGGTAAGTGTTGGTGAGGATAACGATCATCATCATAATTAGGCTGACATCAAGGCTAGATGTACCAGCATAGAGGGTCATAGGAAGTGGTACTTTTACTATGTGGCATTAATGGCTTCATTATGCAGAACGTAGAAGTCAATATGCTCATTAACTCTTATTACTCCCCATATCCTACTTGTACTATTGTCACATGATCATTAATCTGTGTGAAAAGGGGAACGGATCTGGTTATAGTCTTATCCAAATGAGATTATATTATTATTTGTTTACATCTGAAAATTTTTTTTTCAAATTTCGTCGGTGCACTGGACATTTCCTTTGTAAATATTTGTTCCTCTCTGTGAGTAAAATGCATCCAAATGCGAGGAGGTATAAGTTACAGGCCATATAGTGAATCAGCGGCAGACTTATAGCCAGGGAACATAAAAAAGTATTTCGAAAGAAATAATATCAACACAGTGTGACTGTTAAAAGATGTAGAGAAGAACACCAACATTTGAAGAAGCCAGTTATCAGATTTTCATCACAAAAATAGAAAGATTGACACAGTAGAACATTTAAGAAACAGGGTTTTAAATTGAACAAGTGAATATAAAGAAACGCTGTCACGCCAAACATTAAGGACATAATTATAGTATTAAGAACATGTTTGCTAAAAAGAAAAGCATTTTGTCCCAAATTGTAATTGACACGAGGCTGGGCATATCTTCAAGTATTATATTAGCAATGTAATAAAGAATAATTTGAAGTTGGTGAAGGGTCGCATGACAAAGTTCATCAACTTTCAGCTACACCTCGACACTAGAATAACAGGAACTCCTTTCTACTTGTCAAATCCCCACCTACTTCATGTGTCTTTGGTCATATTGGTTCACTTATACACAGTAAACAGCCTGTGGAAAGAGTGGCAACATGTGTGGTCAAGAGTTGACCCTGCTTGTTACAATAAAAATATGATTTCTTGGCCATCACACAGAATAACGTTTTATACGTTATAGTTGACTATCCCACAATATCTGGGTGTCCCATTAGCTGTACTATTAATTTGAAAATGGTTCCTTAGTTTGCTAAGAACACTTTGAGATACTTTGATGTAGCCATAACAGCTTGCTGTGCTTGGCTAGCTTCTATTTGTCTGATGTTCATCCACATAAATGAAACATTCAAACGTTTTCTTCGAAGTCGTGGCGGGGTTAATGGACAACCTAGAAACTCTTTGATTTCCTTGAAAGTATCACTGGATCAAGTCTATGTGTGGCCATTATATATACAACGTAAGTTGAATGGCCAGTCATTTGAATTTCAGATCAGATAGCTGATCAATAGAAGTTAAACTTAAGAATGAAGTAAGGAGGAGCGATTGAATTGTTACGTGTTATAGCTATAACCTGTTCGATTAGAGTATCCAAAGAACTTATGGTGAGTAGTGCTATCTATCTGCCGTCTCTAGTCTATCAGTTCAAAATTAGACACAACTATGCGCAGTAAACTCTTTTGTCTCTTTTCATTTCATCGCCTGTTTGGTGGAATGTTGATTTTTTGTAATCTATCTTTTATTTCAGTGATTTCACAGATTTTAAATTGATTTATGAAATTTAGTTATTTCTCTTTTTGTGTAGGGTTATTCTGTTGGAAATAAATAAAATGGGTGATGCTGACAATCGTGAGATCTGGCGGGAAAATGAAATGAAAGAATTGTCAGATTTGGTGCAGAAAAGAATTTATGTGCTACAGGTATTAGTTTAAATGTAGGAATATTTTAAGTAAGCTTAACAACACAATTATAGGATAATCGAAATTTGTAATTTTGAGTTGCACATCATTCTTAATCTGCATCCACAGCCACAAAGTGAGAAGCGAGATTTTGTGTCAATAGACGCGAACCACGAACCCTTTGTACTAACCGTCCTGGCATGCTAACCGCTATACATGTTAAAGAATAATATTGCATGGTGCGATGCCCTTTCTTTGTGTAACATTTTGGGAAACAACACAAATTTACTTATCACGCTATGAGCAATAAATATATTCTTGTAAAAAAACATATATACACCATTACTGAAATTTTTATTCAGACTAATTAACATAAAATATGTATCTTTTGATCAAGTGCTTTCAAATTGCTTAACTTTTTTATATTAATGTCAGTACGTCTTCTCTTCGATCAAAAGATGAACGAAAGTACGGAGCTAGAAGGTTATAAGCAATGGTTAAGAGATCGATATAAAAATGACGTGGTTGTGAAGGATATGATAAATACCAAAAGTAGGGGTATAGCATTGGTAAAGAGTGGGAAACAGAAGAAGAACATGTGAATTAGCGACGGAAATGGTTAGAAGATCAATACATCAACCCTTGGGATAAATGTTACCTGGTAGAAACTGCGTCATTATGATGGGAATTATCTGGTGGAAACAACAGTAAATAAAGGTTTAATAAATAATCAACAAGGGATAAGGATTTGTGATACGTTATCATTGGCATAGAGAGCGGATCATTAAACATGATATTTTGATTTATAAAACAACGGTGAACATACCGGGTTCGAAGGTCGCCGGGATGGTGAAGAATGAAACAAGTAGCATAACGTTCCACTATCTGGAGGCAACAATAAAATTTGGAAGAAGCAAAAAAGCGAGGCAATGTGACCATACATAAAACAAAGGTAAATAACCTGCTTAACTCCTTCATTGTCATGTTTATAGATAAACCAATCTGTCAGGTCCAGTGTTTATTCATATATACCAACAAAAACAACTACTCTTAACCCACTTTTTATTTGTCTTGTCATCATTACCTGAAATCTTTCACACCTGATTATATTCTCATAATGTATAGTGAATTCAATAAAATAATTATTTGTGCATTTATTTCGCAAATATCAAAACTGATATACAATTTTATGATCTTATTATCGATTTTCTTTCATACCTACATCTCAGAGTATTTACTTATTATGTGTGCCCAAGGCAGAATAACTGTTAGATTGATGAGGTATGGTAGTAGGTGAAAAGCGTAGTCAGCAGTCGCATACAATAACAAAAGGATAACTGATGTACTGGAGTTCTGTTCTATAGTCGGACGACTTCTTTTGGATTACCTGGAAAAAGTTATACCCACGTAGGGATAAAGTGTTAGTTTATTTCTTCAAGTACGTCTGGCACGATCTGTGTTCACTTGTAGGCCTAACTTTACAAATACTCTCTCCACAGTATCTACCTCTACAAAAATAGATGATGCAAAAAACGTTGAGCGAAATTCTGTCATGAAACGGAAGATATGAGCATTATATTCAAATGATGAACTTCTGTTACGAAAGGGAATAACATTTGTAATGATATCGGATGTTACTTCTGCAGGTTAAGTGTGATTACGAAACTCATAAGACATAAAAATAGCTCTCTTTTCTTTTGCTAATGACCAGAACTGCGTAAGAAAATGAAGAGTGCGTTATAAGACAAGGACTTTTGACATCTAAGATAAACAAACGTATACTAAACTAAAGTCGTTTTGCATTACATTGCATTGTAAATAAATCATTTCTTGTGAATGAACTGTGGTATTATTTTATAAGTCAAAATGAAGCTCTTCAGAAACAGATATCTAACGTGGTAGCCAAGGACCTCATCAAGAAGATGATGGATAACATGGGAGACTTTCGACGGTAAGTTTAAGTAAAATAGTAGCGGTTTTATTGTTATTACACTTTGTATATTTGTGAAGATAGCGTGTCTCCTGGAGCTTTCTGACTGAAGACTTGGGACAACTATCTTGTCTGTGGCAAGATTAGTTTGAGTTTGTTTCAGTGTTTTGAGTTCATACAAATTTGAAAAGAATGCAAATTTTCTTTATTAAATAAGAAAAAATATGTGCCATTAGCTAAGATAGATAGATATATTTTTACCATATTATCTATCTAATAATACCACTTGAAGCTGAAAATTTCACATGATAAACATTATCCAAGTAATAAAAAAGTTGCAAAAATTAAGTATGATGTAAAGATGGCAATACCGAAAAAAACACAGAAACAAGGTAGAGATTAATACACAAAAAACATACAAAAATTCCTACATAAGTAGCCAGTAAGTATTGAGTCAATGTTACAAGCTTATGATTATATATTAGACATTGTAAGACTGTGTTGCATTATTCAGCTTAAATGCTTTTATTTCAAACCTGAATTCATGCAAATGACAGGAATTCAACATTTAGTTGTAGATAAAAGTTATTATTGGAAAGATTTGGCTAGCTATGTAGTTATTTTTGTACAGTTTTTGTGTATTCATTCCTAGCTTGTTTCTGCACTTTTTGGTATTGCCATCTTACATTATATAAATTTTTGCAACATTTGTTATGATTTGTTTACTTTTTATTTTAACAATTTCATTGAAGTATTTTAATAAGTTACTTTTACATAATTCAATGGTAATATATATTGATATTATATACCATACAATTGGCTACAATAGATTAAAAATCATCGCTAATCAGAATCTTGACTTCTTAGGACTTATTGTTAAAGAACCTACAGTAAGGAAGGAACATATGAAAAATGTATAGCTGTATCATCCCTATATTTTTTGTTTGGATTCATTTTGGCACTGCCATCCCTACATCATTTACAAAATGTTTTGTGATGTTTTTCCCTGATTGAAAGCTAATGTATTCTACGAATGTGTGGAATAAAATCTAATATTATGTGTGTTGATTTTTTTTTACTCCTTTACTTTATACATAATATAGGGATGGGCTCCCTAAAGACAATGGTTGTATAGTGTACAAAGCATTGGGTATTCTACACGTTACAGTCGTCTAATGCTTATCTGTTATTGGCTGGTAATTGCTGTTTCACCCTATACTTAAGCTTTCTAAAGGAACACCAGATTTCTGTACAATATTTTACTTCAAGGGGTAATGATAACATCGTTTACACTAGAATTATGATTTGTTTTAGCTTATATTAAGCATTATCGCGCTTAGTGATAGCCTATTCCTAAGTGCTCTTAAAACATTTTTCTGTCATACTAAAACCATAACGAAAACTTCACACGTTTTTTTGGTTGGCGTTGGAAGATAAAAAAATAAAGATGAACACTTTGGATCTTTAGCTAGTTCTCCACTTTATCAACACTTTTCAATGATATTGGAAGTCTCACAAGCTGTGAAATACTCAATAATGGCAATTAGGTGCTCAAATAAGGCTATAACTCAACTTTAACAGTTATTTGTAAGGATCATAGAGTAAAAGATTGAATGTGGGAGCCTTTTTTTTACCCATCCCTATATACCATGTATAGTGGTAAGGTATTTTTAGAGTTTGGCTTAAACGTACTTTCAATGAGTATGAAAACACAGTCTCGGTACAAGTACATTACTGTAAAGAGAGTGAATAGCACTGTACAAGGACGATAATTCAGGTACGTGATGTCACTGTTCTACTAATACCACGCTTATCAAAACAAATACATAGTCAGATGACCTCCATAAACGTGTTCGAGAAGGGGGGTAAGTCACATAACATTTTAAGTATAATACAAAGCAAGTCATGAGCATTCATTTATTTTTGGTGTCTGCAGATTACAGCTATAATGATAAATTGAACTTCCGAAAAGTTGAAGAAACAAACGTGCTGACACCACTATACTACAAGGAAATAAAGCTATGTGATTAGTGGTATTTGGAAGTGATTAATGGACACGATCATTAATCGATTAGCACAACGTTCCTGATATGATGCGTGTTACCCAACATGGAGGAATGCCAGATGCAAAAGTTTAAGAACCACTGGATTATAGGAACTAAACATGTCACTCATGGCAGGCACACCATCTCACCTTTATCAAAGGTTAAATTACAAGAGACTTAACTGTATTTATTTGGTTTACTGACCCAAGCTATGCCGGTGAGTCTTGAATAAGCAAAACTGCAGTCCACAACAGAGGGCATGGCAAATCAAAGAAAGCATTCGGCCTCTATTTCACAAATTATAGTTTCAATTTTGCCTTTGGCGAAATGAAAAGAATTTGTAATATATATTCATTAGAACTACTATATTTGTTGTGTCCCAGACGGTCTGTTGATCTCGGATCTTTGGCAACGGATATGGCGGAATACTGTAATACAATCTTCGCCTTTTCGAAAAACCATAATGATTTGTTTGTTTGTAGCTAAGTACAAAGTTACACAATGGGCTATCTGTGATCTGCCCGCCACGGGTATCGGAACTCAGTTTCTAGCGTTGTAAGTCCGCAAACATACAGCTTTGCTACTTGGGGCAAACCATAATGATGTGAATTAAGAATTTATTGATAAAAAATACATTTCCTATGACAAGTATAATTACCCATAGTTGTGCTTCGCCATCTTAGAAAAGGCGTTCAATGTAGCAATGGCCAACATTCTTAAATTATTGAACAGATCCGAACCAACAATGGTTAATAAACAATATATGCAAATCCACAGGTAAAAAATAGTTGTATCTATATGTATGTTTATAGATATATTATTATTCTGTCTCATTAGATTAATACATAAATATTTCAAAGTCAAAATATTTATATTAACTGTTGTGAAATGGCAGAGAGATTTGGCCAAAATTCAAACACGCTAAATGTTTAAGAACGCTATGAATATCATTAAAATAGAGAACAACCTTATATTTGTTCGTTTAAACTTTATCTATCCTAATTAAAAAAGATTCTTTAATCTTTCGAACTACAAAACTGTGATCTGCTTGTGATATCCAATGTTCTTTACTGAAACACTCAGCAACAGCAATATTAGAATTAAGGTTTTAGATGTCATGTATGTATCATATGTTAGTGTTAGCATCTGAACAAGGCTCAAGAGAGAAATCTGTACTGCTACTAAATCACAGTTTTCATTATTCTATTGACAGTGATGATCACTGAATCCTTATTTTGAAATGTCGAGCTGTACTCTCAGGATGCTACTACATAATATAAAATAAATGTTTCATATTTTGTTCAATATGGCCTGAATGTTTTGGAACACGTGTGTTAATGTTCAGTTAACTGATGATGGTTCTCCAATTTGATTTTAATTAGGTTAGCGAACCTGTAATTCCTCGATAAAAGGTTTCTTTGGGAGTGCAATGACAATTGATCTACTTAGATCTTCTGGAATTTCGCCATTCTCATATCTTTGATTTATCACCTCGATTTGGTTTTGGATGTAGAACTTGCCTAAAGCTTGTATTATTTCAAATTTGATTCCATTTGGTCCTATTTCTTTGTTCATTTTCTCACATGCATCACTCACCTCTGATTGTAAAAGAGTCGTTCCATCTATGCTTTTCCTCATTACTGGTTGTTCATATCTCTTATTTTGAAAAAGCTCATCACAACTTGCATTGATCGTTTATTTTTTCTAGCATATCATAGACTTCGTCAATTTCCTTCTCACTGCTTTATAATAATGGAGCATACACTTGAATGATGGATCAAAAGGTTGATTACTGAGTTTTATAAGCATACCCCTGTCTGCCAAAATCCACTATCCTAAGACGCTATTTGAATATTTCTTATTTATGATTATTCCAACTTCTCTTTCATGTTTTTCTCCTTTCGAGTAAACAATTTTAAAATTATCTGCTTGAAAACATCCTGTATTCTTCCATCTTGTTGTGCACATTCCAAGGATATTAATCACCAATCTAGTCAATTCTTGTTTTACATTATCTAGTTTTTCACTGCGGTAAAGTGTCTTAATATTCCATATGGATATCTTGATGGTGTTGCGGACAACATCTTGATGATGGTCAAGTACTACTTGTCGCATATAAAAAACCCTATTTTAATTGCCTTTTATAGCCTAAATGTTTGTGTAGTAAAACCCACAGGCTACAAGAAATGGTGGTGCTCCTTCTGGTTAAGTTTTCGAGTTAATTCTGCAGTAACTAACTCTCCACTACTTGAACTTATGACACCAGCTTGTAGGGATACAAAATAATTTCCACTTTATTGTCCACAAATCACTTATTCAAGTAAAGCAAAGACATTCCAGAAATGCAGTAACTAAAGATAAAGTAAAAGGCGCATTTTCATAAAATAAACTATCCATATCAATAACAGAGACGTCTTTCATTGTTTCATGTTTTAAAAATTATTTATCAGATTTTCAATGTCAAGGTTTTCAGCAGTTTATCTCAATGCATAAAATTGTCAATAAAGAAAGTCTAACTAAGTGTATTAAAGAGCGTAAGTAGTTTTTATTGAGCCTGAGATGGCTGAAACTTTGTTCTGCTTGAGTGGTGTTTATTGGTATGGTTAAATAAATTTGATACAAAATGTATGTTGCATGTCATTAGCAATTAGGAAAGGTTTGGTTTTTGCTTTTAATTTCGCGCAAAGCTACACGAGGGATATCTGCGGTAGCCGTGCCTAATTTAGCAGTGTAAGACTAGAGGGAAGGTAGCTAGTCATCACCACCCATCGCCAACTCTTGGGCTACTCTTTTACCAACGAATAATGGGATTGACCGTCACATCATAACGCCCCCATGGCTGAAAGGGTGAGCATGTTTGGTGTGGCGGGGAATCAAACTCGCGACCCGCAGATTGCGAGTCGAGCCCCCTAACCACCTGGCCATGCCAGACCTGAATTAGGAAAGGAAGAATGTCATTAGTGGAAAAACCTACGCCATCTTGACCTGAAAAGAGTCACTTCAATCCCTATCAACTCGTTATTACAAAATTAGCCAAATTCTTCACTTCTTCCAGCCAGTTTGAGCCAAACAATGGATTTGAATTAAGCACTAAGAAATCGTTTATTGCTGCTCTGAAGCCAGAAAACCTTTCTTCAAAATTGTATTAATGAGCACGAGGAGTGTATCAAGGTCAACTGATTCTTTTTGAAGATATTTGATATAATAAAGCTGGTTTTCCTTAGATAATATTCTAACACGTTAATGTAAACTTGGATTCAACCGTATCCAGTGTAGTAAACAAAACTTGAATCTCTGCAAATACTTTTGGTGCAGTATTGTTGAGCTCTCCAGATACAGTTCTCTAAAGATCTGCAGTAACTGTGCGTACGCTTTGCAATAATGCCTCATTAGCTCGTTTTCTTGATGTCCACATTATACTCGACAGTCTCTTTTGCGTAACAACAGTAACATTCAACATTTCATGTTGTTCTTCTTCCAAAAATTCTGTTTCTTGAAAGACTTGATGAGAGAAAGGAGTAGAGAATTTCTAGAGTCTCCCACCCCCCAAAAAAGTTTAGCACTGGTGAAACAATGGCTGCATCCAACAGGATGAAATTTAAGTTGTACACTGCCTTTGAGCTGCAACCTTCCGTGACTCTTGCTTGGAGGTCTAGAAGGTGACATAGTCCTGTCTTAAGCGTGCTCATACATTAAGTTACCATTAAGCCCAAGTTAATTCGTGAGTTTGTTTATCAGTACGTCATAAAATGAACCAGCACTGCTTCTGGACAGCTCATCGCATTTTATAAAGGGTTAAACACTGTATCCATTTTAATAACATATCAATCGCGGAATCTACAATAACCACAAAAAATTGCAAATATAACCTTTGCAGAAAATTAGACAAATTTTACGCTGGATTACAAGGATGAAAAAATTTAACAGTATTTTTGCGGTGTTTCCATAACTTTCACTTCCATGCTAGAATTTATACAGTTCTCACTTTCAGCTTCTGGTAATAGGCTTGTGTCCTATTTTCTTATTTTACCCTCAAGTTCTCTCGCTACATTAGAGTTCATGGGGTTCGTTTGCTTTCCGCCTGCAGTTTAATTAAGTTGTTTATGTTTGCCGTGAGTGAACCTCGTAAAATTTATTTTACATAATAGTGGAGCAGATGGTTATAAATAAAGTATGGATTATTGTTTCAGAGAAATCCAAGTAGGAATTTGTATTGTACAGAATTAATGCTGGTTTATCTATTAAACCGTTCATCACCCTTCCTAGTCTCACAACCTCTTTTTTCATACAAACACAAGATCACTTGCCCTAATGTGAACTATAGAGCTGTTTTTTTTCCTATTGTAGTGCACTGTTATTTGTATTTTAAACTGTGAGGTCGTTATGAAACATTCTTTTTGTGTATAAATCTGTATCTTGTCCTCTTCGTGACTTAATTGTCGCAACTTATTGGGAAGTATACGCCCAAGCCCAAGAACTTTGAGTTATTAGCGGGCCTAACTTCTTTGCTTTGTTCCTTAGCCACGAGATACCACACATTTTTATTAAGTCAGAATTCTCCTCTTGTGAATTTTGTAGTTTACAAAGCAACTTCCGGGTTTTTCATGCAAAATTCCGTTTTATTTTCTCTTTCAATATGTAAAATTGTTTACAATTACATAATCTTTAGATCTGGCTTCTTTGGTTCGATTACTTTTCAGCTTGTAACCACTAACATTTATAAATGTAGTTAAGAATGAAATGAATATACTTCTCATTACAATTGATAGAGAGGAAAACGATTCAGTATTAAAACATAAAACATTGTCGAGACATGAAATATCACCTTATTTTGTGTGGTTCAAAGGAATATCGAACAAATTTTTAAGGTAGAGGAATGGCATAGTAAATAATTTTATATATTAATTTTACAAAGTTATGAGTTTTAAAAATAAATATTGAACTTCAATTGAGAGAGAAATGATTGCTATTAATAAGTAAATAAAGCATATTTATCGTCATCATTTTTGGGCGGTACACGTGCACACAACTCCCTCCTAGTGTCATGTTACTTTACTAAAATGTTAGAACACTGACTTATAATTATAGAGAAAGTGCGCCAGCGAACATGCACGTAATACACTGCTAATCTAAACAATAACACCGTTTCTTTCTAAGTGAGGATGCTGGAAAGTGACGGACTGGTTGTAGTCGTGTTACACAATCAAGTCGACTTTATATGTCTGTTGATACTTTATTCTGTCGCTGAAATTTGTTGACGATTTTTATGAAGTAAAAGATGACAACATATTTCAAGCGTGTGTTTATTTGTTGCCGTACGTGGGAAGGATCGGCCAGTCTTTATTCTCGGGGTTTGAGAGAGAGAGAGAGGGAATCCTTCTGTTGGATTTATGGGCTATATTTGTTATTTAAATAATGATTAACCTTAGTAATATATATAAATGTAAAAAAAGAAGAAATATATATATGCAAGAGATTTTGTATTTGAAACAGTTCTTAATAGTAACACTAGGACAGGAGGCCCTTCAATATATTATGTAGTTAGAATACATAAGAAGGCAGAAAGATCTAATACTTTTATCTATATATTATTTGTCATTCAACTCAGATGATTTAAATAATTTCTGTTCTCCATTATAACAAGACCCGTAGCGGCTCAGGGGTAAATCTGAAGGATTATAAAGCTAAAAACCGGGTTTTGGTACCTTTGGAGGAAATAGCACAAATAGCACATTGTATAACTTTTTGCTCAACAACAACATTAAAATAAAGAATTTTTATTAACATTAAAGCCCTCTTTGCTATAAAATACTTTATTAAATTAAAAGTATTGATGAGATTCAATACAAAAACCAAAATTAATGTTTTTATCCTAAACAATTATGCTGTAAAGTATCTTTAAGATAAATTTCAAATAACTAAATAGTTACATTCAGAATAAGCATAATATATGGCTAGGCTTTATAATGAAACTATATTACATAGAACAAAAAAAAAACGCGCACCTGTAAAAAATAATATATTTCAGAATAAGCATTATATCTGGCTAGGCTTTACAATGAAAATATATTACATAGAACAGAAAAATGAAACGTGTACCTGTAAACATAATATATTTTAGGAAGCAATCCTGGATACACTTGAAAAACAAACATCTGCCACTACGTCTGTTGCACATATGTTTGTAAATTACCTAACTAGATTGAAATATTGAAACTTCCGTGTTTATTTTACAGCGTACGCAAATCCTTTGTATAAAAACAGGTCAAGCGTTGTCTTAACAAGATAAACTATAGTAAGTGTAGCTGCAAAACTTGTCGTGGGTTCATTTCAGGTGATTAGCCAATAACAACGGAACCCAACAGACAGCAGGACTAATGTACAAATATGAGCAAGTCGGTTCTTAAATATTACTCATTAACGCTATTATAACAAAAAAGTTTTATGATTTCAACTTTTTTAAAATGTCACACATTTTTCTTGTTCTTGCTTAGATTACTTTATTTCTTGAAACAGTTTCCTCTGTTTGAATTAAATTAACAACGCCACATATTGCGAGACATATATGACCTGGTGGTTAGCATGTCCGGCTGCGGATGTTACGGTTCGTGGTTCTTGATTATTTACCATGTGCGACT